ATTCAGTATATATATATATATATATATATTCTCTCTCTCTCTCTCTACTATATATATATATATATATATATATAAGTGTACCCTACAGAATCAGAATATACAACAATATATTTTGAATACATGCATTCACAGTCTCTTGAAAATTTAACAAGTCAAACATCATCAAAAGTCGTGGAAAAAAATGATGTCTACGATTTGTAAGTATTTCGAACAAATACAAGTATGTTTGTTCTTTAATATTGAAAGCATCTATGATAGATATCGATAAGGCTGTGCTACAATAATACACAATAGGGTGTGTTCGTTCAGATAGGGTTATTCCTTTCAGCCCTGACAGTACCGCTATATCATGAGCGTTCCACCATTGCGACTTTCGGCCCCAAGGTAAAATCGAGTTGGTTACACAATCTACTCACATTGTCAAATTTCAAAGCGGAAACCAAGCCTAGATGAACCTACTTGAAATACAGTCTGTACATGAATCTCACAATGATGTCAGGACACGGCTTGAATGGATTCGTTTAGACAGAACCGACATGTAGTCCTACACGACACGCACTTGTAGATCCATTGAACTGGCATAGCATTTTCTTTATTGCAACAATTACATCAACGACATCCAGAACAAGGCTATAAATTGCCACCAAAAGAAATGATAGTCAACACAACCTTTTACAATCTATTTTTGACAACAAAGCTGCTAGTGTATTCCACAAATATTTGTTCGCCTCTATTCAATCCTTTACCCTTGGTCCAAATATATATATACACGTATGTATAACATATAACATTGCCATTCTCCTTGTGCACTGCATTGTATCAATGTAATATACGGCAGAATTATGGAGATTACTATACTAATTCAGTTGAATAGACTATTCCATATGTATTTCAATAGCTAATGACACACACTTGTTTTAACGCATTGGTATTTTCCCTGTCCGTAGGCTCTCAAAAAGCTTATAATATGCATCCCGAGTATAAATAAAGTCAAGATTTGTATAAATTTTATAAATATCACGGACGAGGAGTGTTTTCTGTACGTATAAATATGCACAAATGTCTAAGTGTGTGTTGCCTCCAAGCATAGCACATGCTAATGGGAAGCTCGTTTGTTTGAGATCGGTTTTAAACTGTGATAAATCTAATAAAGATGAGCACAAATCGGATGCAAGCTGCAAGGGCACGCAGAGTATGAGAAAAAGTAAAGGTCCACCCGAGTGAGACCATCGTTTAAGGGCTAACGCTCCTGTTTTGTCGACTCGCGCAGCTAATTTGATTTTAAAGTTGTGAATGAGATAATCTCAGATAAAGCAATGTCACTACGACAGTCCAACCAATCAACTACGCCTTCGTATTGATCTTTGCGTTGTTAAATACTTAATGCGAGCTCGGATCAAAGCATGTACGCTAAAAGCAAGTCTGCGAGAAAAATGTGTCGACTGTGGTGCTGACAAGAGCTTTACAATCATGAGACAGGCTTCTGTATAAATACCTTGTACAATATCGAATGCAACAATATCATCTCAATAAAATGCAGGTCTGGAGCAACTGTAATACTTTTACATATGATTAAGGCTAACAAATGAACGAACCTTCCAACACCGCTATAAAGGACAGATAGAATAATAAGCGTACAGAATTATAGCGGAAAATAGACAGCAGAATGGTATACTACAAAGGGTGGATTGTTCACTGACTGGTGATTTGAATGCATTACGAGCAAGATGTAAACCTTTTTTTTAGACTTGCAACGCGTGAGGATCGAACTGAGTACTCGGAATCATCATGGTAAATGATCAATAGGATATGTGGACAGCTAGATATCTCAGCAACAACTAAGACCGGGCCGATAGAATCGATAACTCGTACGTTTATAGATCCAACCAGGCAGGGAAGTACGGTTGCTTGTATAGCTGCGCTGCGTGAATTTACACAGGCTTGATGAAAGGATAAACATAGCGTTGCAACTTTCTAAAAGCCATAGCCTATTATATAGACTTGTATTTATAAAATAGAGCCTGCTTCTTATTATGTATTATTATTGTCTTTTTGTTTTTTGTTGTTGTAAAAAATATAAATAAATGAATTGTAGATGGTAACACAGTAAACGTTTATGTACGATCAGTTTATTCGACATGCATGCAAGTCCCAAGTTGTGAATTGGATACATGCTCAATGTTACTATCAGATATAATCCAGATATATTTCTCCAATATATCCTCCATGTTGAACACTTGATCATTCAATACTTCCTAGCTTGCTACCTTCCTCAGTGTCACATATCACTCTACCAATCGCAACCACCTTCTCTCTTGTCTACTTCTATCGTTGCCTCTTTCCTGACACTATGCGGCTTTCTCTCTGCAGTCCATCCACCTATTGCACCAACCATTGCATTCTCTCCCTACGAGGTGTCCTCCTACACCTTCCATAATTGGATTTCTCACGTCAGCAGCTCCCTCTGTCACAGCTCGCTGTTCCTTGCCGTAAATACTAGTTCAGCCTCTGCTGGTTCCTTCCTCGACCTAACTTCTCTAGTAGCCCGCCCTCCTTGCTCGAGCTAATATGATCCCTCAATAATTGTATCTCCTTGACACCTCACTGACATGTTGTTCTGATATGACAAGTGTTCTCCAGTGTCGATATCTGTTCGCTGATGACAGGTGTTCTCCAGTGTCGATATCTATCCTGTAGGACATTACATCCCCCCAAGGACGGAGAGCGTTACCTATATATTCTTCCAGTCCACAGGATTGATCGTAGGTACTCTAAATAAAGCAGGTGACTTATGCCAACGCAGCTTAAATATGTAAACATAAGTCCGGATGACGTACTAGTCATGCACGGCAATATTGTATTGTGTGTGGTTACTAGCTTGCATGTGAATGAACAAAGCCTAACCACGTATCAGACCTGACTATCCATAGCCTAGTCCTGTCGGAGTCTAGCATCCCTCTTGGCAGCACACGTATTTAACATCTGCCTCAGGTACTGGCTGTTATATCCAAGACGGTAACCACGCGCACCTATATGTCGAGCTACCAACCCCGCATCGCTGACATCAAAACCGATAGATCGCTCATGTTTCTTATCATGGGTTAAACTAACCCAACGGTGCCAGTAGTAATTAACCGCATTCTGCCACTGCGCTGCTCCTGAAATGGTGGTAAACGCATTCACCATCTCGTCGCGCTCCTCTTGAGGAGTATCTTTGAATGGGCTTTCATACATGAGCCAACTCAAATATACTGTACCCGCAAGACACCGCTTAGCTCTACCCCGCTCCGGTTCTCCCAAGGGCACCCGGTAAGCTCGCATGTCAGCGATTACGAACCCGGGTCAGCTTCCCCGTTGCTCTCATGCGCGCAATGTGATAAACTAGGAGGTCAAGCGCCACTACATCAGCTGGACCAACACTCAAGCGGCTCGGGCTCCAACATCTCCAGAGTTGCTAAGTCACCTAAGTCTCCACGCAATAACTCCACAATATCCGCGTCGGCATGATGAGAGAATACCCGACCATTCGTTGCTAATGTGAGCGGCGCCACACCCGTCACCGACGAACGGGTTGAATTATATGCCGACACAAACTCAGCCACAGCGTCAGGCCAAGTTGACTCCTGTTCCGCCGGCAAGTAACGAGTCAACCACCGATTACACGTCCGACACAGTATCTCTGCAAGCCCATTACCAGTGTGACGACCCTTCTGCACCGGGGACAGTAATATGATGTTGCACACACCAGTTCGTAAATTCGTGCGCCATTAACGGACTGTCCTCTTCAACAACCAATTGACGCGGCCAGCCCCATGGAGTTAGTTGTTGCTTTAAGAACCACTTTACCTCCTCAAATGTACGCTCGTGGCGTCGCATCGGACGCCCTGCCGCCAACCGTGATATACGATCTATAGCAAGAAGCGTGCAATTATAACTATCCGCACTGCGCATATGATAGTAATAATCAATGTGCCATGCCGCTCTAAAAGCCCTCGCCCGAGGAGGCTGACAAGACAAACCCTTACGCAAACCTCGTTCCATCCCACGAGGAGCAATATACGTGGTGCACGAATCGACTACGTCCACCAGAAGGTCTCTAGGGATATTCCACCCCAACTTATCCTGCAACAGGCCCCATAGACGGGTAGGCCTAGCGCACATAAAACGATAATGCAGCCTCCAAATGATTGCAAGAACCACCCTTGGTGATACCCGCATACCCTTAGCACTGGTATTGATCAACGCCAGCTCATCCAAAACATCTCGTAACGTACGCGGTGCCTTCTCGGTCCGCTCAAACGTAACAACGACATCCGGTCCACCACCCTCAACACGGTCTGAAACCGTATATGGTCGCTTCGGCTGCTGGGCAAACCCAATACCCGAATGTGCCCTTAGCTGGACATCCGAAACCTCCTCGAAGTTCCCCTCAGCCCGTGTCTCATCTATAACTGACTCCTGTTGTTGTTGCAATTCCGCAAGCTGATGATCAGAGCACTCGTGCGCACTCTCGAGAGGATCCGGTAACACCTCCCCCTCAAAAACGTCACCAACGCTATCATCCTCGACCGCGTGTTGATTCATGCGTTCTACCCATCGTTGATCACGTGCTGCCAATACGTCCTCCAAACCGTCACATTCTTGTTCCATCAGGCCACGCATACCTGCGTTACTCTCAGCAACCCCCATCTCCTTACCTAAAGGTATTGGCTCGTCGTCGAGACCTGGGAAAGAAACGCCTTCCACATCATCGAACACACATTCGGAAAGAACCGGGGTGTTGCTGGATACCAAATCCGCACCTGTGAAGCTTGCAAACGGGTTCTGCGCCGAAGCTGGCCCTGTGCTAGCCAGGTGTCCCTGGACATTGAAACCCCACCCAATGAAACAGGATCCGACCCATCAACCGCAACTGGCTGCGGGTTAGCCGAATCTTGGTCGTCAACCACCGAATCATCAACCGCACAGTCGAGGAAAACACCACATCACCTACCTTGGAGTTCGTACCTGTAGTTCCGTCCAAGCGTGCGTCCGTGGACAATCCTGTATCCAACCGTTCATCCGGTGCCTCTACCTGTTCCCTTAATATCATAGCGTGTTCGAAGGCTGCCGAATGCTCACCTCCCGTAGTGTGAACGACGCCTTCGTCCAAAGCCGAACATCCATCCTACTGCGCGTCGTCCGCATCGTCTGGCTCACGCAATGTCATTATCTTCTCAAAGCTCTCCTGTAAAGAACCCACGCGTTGTTCTTCCTCATCCTCGCACTCAATTGCCTGGCGCCGGAGTTGCGCCCGAAGCGCATCACCGTCGATAGTTTCCGTGTCACCCTGTGCCATTTGCATCGCCTGTGCACGTGTCACCACGGACATACATGGCCTTGTCGGCCCATAAAGATTACTCACTCCAAACGGACGACGCTGAAAACCAAAAGTGTTTTAGAAACTCCTCGGCTAATGTTGCAGGGGCTGCACACAGGTAGCTAAAGCAGCACAACCATGACGGCGGCCCAAGAGGTTGGCCGTTGTCGCCAAAGAACGTGTCTGCCTCCGGAGGCAAACTACTATCGGCAGTTCACCAAGCATAGCGCAATATGTCGGAAACCGGGTAGCTTCCGACCACAACGGTATCATAACCACCGTTTCGGCAGAACGAAAGAAACGTAAATAACCTAAAAATTTGAACAAAGTCGCTAAATGTACATTGAAAATGTGGAGAAAAAAAAACGGTTTGAATCCGAGAAAAATAGAAAAATCACCTTTTTTTTGCGTCGAATCCAGGCGTCATCTAAAAAATTACAGCACTGGAAAGTCACTAAATGTACATAAAAAAAATCACTAAATGTACTTTCTGAATTTTAGTTGAAATAAGTTTGAGAAAGGAATTGAATATCACATTTAGTGGATTTGATTGGTCAATTAGAAAACGTACCCGTAAATTTGTATGTACATTTAGTGACTTTCTTATGTGTAGGCCATGTACATTTAGAGTATTTCATCTAAAAACTTCTCGACCTCGTCCCATGGCGAATTGACCCAACAGATGAAGACATCTAAGAGAACTGTATACGCGCTCCCACCCCATGTACCCCCACCCTCTTCATCAGAAGCATAATGTGGAAAATGTATATTTTCCTTATTCGCAAAGAGGTCGAACTCCAAACCCGGCCATCGTTCACATACCAACCGTAACCACTCACTCCGGCTACTGACAGCGACTCGTCGACAACCCAATCTACCTCGTCCTCCGACAAAAATCCTTCACCTGGCATAGGAACCGCATCATCAGGTTCCTCCAACTCCATTGGCCAATCCCAGGCCACTCTCTTTTCTACCGGCAGTAGAGCAGAGTACCAGCCGCTACAAGCCTAGACGGACAATCGCCAAAGACATTACACGGACCGGGAATATGGGTCACCACCGCATCGATGTTTCCCATCAGTTTTAACGCACGCCAAATGCGACATTTCTTGATAGATGACGTATCCGGCGGAACAGGCTCTCCCTTCAACAAAGACGTGAGAGCCTTGTGGTCCGAGTGAGTGGCCAACGCATGTATACACCGGCCGTGTAATCATGAAGATCGTTCTATTAACCAAGAACTCCGTGGCCGCCAGCTCTAGGTCTAATACGTGGTAATTCTTCATGGATGACGACAGCTTGGAACTATAGAATCCAGCACAAAACTTAAAACTCTATCATACATGACGACCTTATACCTGCGGTCCCAAACCACCGGAGCCATAGCCAATTACACACTTACCAGCTCTCGAGACAACTATTCACCCATAGTCGTTAATGGTTCGTCTTTGTTCTTCGGTATGCCTAAGCTAACAATGCCTTGCATACGCTCCTCTGAGATAGTGACGAAACCATCATACCACAGTTGGGTATAGAAGGACTTCGGAAACGACGTAGGCACCGCCAACTGCGTTTTGACAGCATTAAATTTGGTATTTGACGCGATTGCCCAAGGCATCTCCAGTGCTTCTCATCCGCACGACGCTCACTAGGAGACAAAGTCCTCTCAGCACCATCCGAATCGCTAGTAGTACATACATCCGTCAGCATGGGAAGTAACTGTTTACTCGCCGGAGAATCTGTCAACCTACGTTCGACGCCTGCTTGTGGCTCGTACAGCTGATCGTCCTCCTTCTTTGTACACATGGCGGAGCCGTCAACAAAGCACAAGAAATCCTCTACTGTTCGGAAGTTATACTCGTTGTTTGTTGTATTTTGGGCCGGCACCACTGCCAAACTAAAATCAGCCCCCACGCGCTCGTATACCTGGCCATCGCTCGCAATAAAGCGAATCTTATGCCTGTCACGTTCGTCAATTGGGCATTGGATTGTCATACGCCAAGCAAAACATATATGCACACCCAGCTCCTCTTCGCTTGGCATATTCGCTCTATCCAGGATGCACCATCTTTTCAGCCCCATATTAGCATGGCACATGCGGTAATCGTCATCGGTTACCTGAGCTGTCTCCTTCACCTTCTCAGCGAGGACATTGGAGGCCAACCACTCGTCCTCATCAAAGCTCTTGCGAATAATTCCTCATTCTACCTCTTTATCAAGTTTGCGTTTCTCAACTGCAGCCCTCACTGTAATAAGCCGGGCCTCTACATTAGACTCTATGTTATAAACGTACTCTTAAGCAGTACGTAAATTATAAACATACTCTTAAGCAGACGTAAATTTTAAACGTACTCTTAATAGTACGAGGAACTTAAGTTTCCTAAATGTACTCTTAATAGTACGAGGAACTTAAGTTTCCTAGATGGTTTTTAATGGTTTTATTAATTAATACCTTTTCCATTTTACATATCAGATACTTGGACGAGGCCATTAAAAGGCCTCAGTAAAATACCAAACATAAGAGTTGGTCTATTTCTATTAATAGAACTATATTTACTTTCCAACTTTATTTATATCTGAATACTTCGGTAGCGAGATGGCTCAACCGAATATAGGTTTCTAGGGACTATTAACGTTACCTAGTTGATCCTCCGATCAGCCAACCAGATGTGCCAGTCTGATGAAGGCTAAGTCGGTAATTCTTGATAAGTGGCAAGTTATTGGTTAAGACAATAACTAAGGACATCAAGAGTATTTTATATTTATATATTTTTTTTCTAAAGATAGAATTTTATGAGTCTCTCGGATTCGCCCCAACGAAACATACCATAGTTTGTAATAGAGCGACAACGAAATACTAAATAAAATTCCTTCGGCGGAAACAGTACTGAGAGGATTATATATAGGCAATGTCTCAGCCTCACAATCCCTCATAGTATTGCTGTTTTCACGAGGCATACCTAACTTTACTAAAAGTCTCATTTCGTTTGTTTACTTTTATATTTTTACGATACTTAGAATTTACCTATGCGTTTATTTACTCTAAGGAGTTAATATCGCCTTAATAGACCGAATCTTACACATTTTAAAGTTGGCAAAGGTATTAATTACTTAGACTACTTAAGCGTAAAGGTAGATTGACTACAACAAAAGTTTTCTTGTCGAAGCTAGTCCTTAAGAGACAAGCTAGTAGTCATAAGTTAAGATTATGACCAAGAAAGACAATACTCCTTCTAAGAAGCGTAGAGCTGAAAAGAAGAAGATGGAGAGAGAAGCCGCTAGCGCTGCCGCAGAAGCAACCGCCGCCGCTGCAGATGCGTTTAACCGCACTGTAGCCGAAGTACTTGCCTCTGACAATAATAGTCAACAATACAATGCTTCGGATAA